CAGCAGCAGCAGCAGCAGCAGCAGCAGCAACAGCAGTATGTAACTATTGCAGTGGTCTCATCCAAGCCCTCCTCAAACTATTCAGCAATAATGTAAGTAACAGCAGCATTATTGCTACAATCAGGTCTGGTTATTTGGAATCTGGTTATCTCCCTCCATCTCTCTACCCCTCGCACTACCTCTCCCTCTCACACTCACTTCCCTTCTCCCACTTCCTCCATTTCCCTCTCTCCCTCTCTCGTGCTTTTCTCTCTCCCACCCCCTATCTCCCGCTCCCTCCCTCTCGCTCTCTCTCTCTCTCTCCTTCTCTCTCTCCTTCTCTCTCTCCCCCTCTCTCCCCTATCGTCTATGTACTACCCCACATCTCTTCTACAGAATGAAGAGCTTTACAATGACTGGAGGTCTCAGAAATACGCTCTGGAGAGAATCAAAACCTTCAAGGACGTCTTCATCGACACAAACATCAACAACGACAGGTTAGTGTGTCAACAACAACACCAGGCTGTGTGTATGTGTGTGTGCGTGCGTGCGTGCACGTGCATGTGCGTCCACGTGCGTGTGTGCAAAAGTGCTCGTTTCCATTTTCTTTTATTTTGATGACATACATCTATCTATATTTCTAACTATCCTAACATGTTATGTTTAACTGTCTTACATTAATGGGTAACCACGCCTGTTGTTGCCGTCTGTGTAAATCATAGTCTGTTTATAATGTTCTAATGTTCTGGTAATCTTACTATAAATTGGGGAATTTCTGTCTGTGTGTGTGTCCGGCTATACGTTTCCGCACTGCTCAACGGATCCTCTCCAAACTTGGTCGGAACATTCTACAGATCATGACACGTTGCAGGGGCTATTTTATTTTTTAACATTTTTATTTTGTTCACATTTCACGTTCAAAAGCATTAAAATAGTGGGAAATTTTTGCACCGAGCGCGGGGTTCTAATGAAAACAAACCGCGCCACCTATCGGAGTTATTTTATGGTTTTAACACTTAATAAAAGTTTTTTTTTTATAGAAATAAATATAAACACACACGGCAGTGTCTACGGCAGTGACAACGGGCCGTGTCTAGTATCTTCTAATATGTAATTCATGTTCTAATTCACTCATGTTGTTGTCATCAGTGCGGTGTCGCCATCTGTTGCCCTCGTGAGGAAGCTTATAGCCGTGCTGGAGTCCATCGAGAAGTTACCTGTCTACCTGTACGATGCGCCGGGAACGAGCTACGGATTACAGGTGAGTCTTACCTGTATGATGTATCATACAGTATACATGTCATTGTCGTGTGTCTTTTGCACGACACTTGATCACGTGGAAAAGTTAAATCATTGTGTAAGCCAGATTTTTGTTTCTGAGAATGATCTCCATTTTCTTGAATTCTCCTTGAATTATTGCAGTGTAGCGTTGTAGTTACACCAGAGTGTTTAGAATGAATAATTTAGAGTTCGAAATAATCAAAGTCAAAGCATATAATTTGTGTTCACCAAAAGAGTATATTGTTTACAAATGATACAGGTACAACAGTACACGCTATCTTGCCACGGTCAGAACTTTTTTCTTTCCTCGCCCACACTTTCCATTATATACACCCTCGTGCTCACCCACACAGTACCAAACCAGGGCTCCAATCACATCCCACAATCACTTCTCCATCAATCACAGTCCTAATGCTCTTACCCATTCTGACCAATCACACTCGTAACTGTATATCTCTTTGTCTTTCCACCTCTCACTGCACACTACATCTGTCATCCAGCTTTCCCATGCAACTTGCTACACCCTGACTAGACATTCCTAAACCAACGCGTGTCTCCATCGCACATGCATTGCTACTCTTGTTCAGCTACTACTCGTCTCACTTACCTCACCCTATTGTCTACCCAGCTGCAACCCCCCACTGCTTACCCAAACAACAACGTAACCTGTTACCATCCATTACTCCATTTACTTACTCATTATTTATTATTTATTATTTATTATTCATTTAGTTACTCCATTTGTGTGTACCTTCTAGCTAAATACCGTGATCTACCGACTCTCACGCTATCTTGAAACTCCATATGTCCAACACATTACAGCAGTTTATACTGATAAAGTTGTCAAAACTCCTACTATATTGGAAGAAAATTTTTATTATGGTATAAACTAATACCACAGTATACATATTTGCATATTTATATACGTATATGCGTCAACTGTTGCATCGTAAAAAAAAATCTCTAAATCGTCATCGGATTGTACTGATATATCTGTGGATGAATATTCTGATAATAAAACGTGGTAAATAACATCAAATAAACAACACTCTGACACAATCATCATGATTGCTTGACCACGCACGCTGATCCATCACGTGCCGTGCCCCGACCAATCATCACACACCCCTGTCCAGGGTGCGAAATTAACGGGATTCCGGAGTCAAATACTCCTTGATTTGACATATGCAGGAGTCCGTGTGACTTCCTGAAAATGTTGCCATACTATACTAACTAGTTTCATTCCAGAGCACGGCCTCGCGGAATTACCGTATTTTTTCGGCAAATGTCCAAAGAAAATTCGGCAGCTGTGTAACCGCATGAATCTTCAAAATAAGCACGTGTTATTGTTAATATTTTTAATTTTGAACTTCAAACTGCAGACTCCCTAATTTTGCTGCGGACTCCCTCATTTTGCTGCGGACGCCCTCTTTTTGCTGCGGACTCCCTCATTTTGCTGCGGACTCCCTCTTTTGGCTGCGGACTCCCTCATTTTGCTGCGGACTCCCTCATTTTGCTGCGGACTCCCTCTTTTTGCTGCGGACTCCCTCATTTTGCTGCGGACTCCCTCATTTTGCTGCGGACTTCCTCTTTTTGAGGGCAGGGAGTCCGTTGTTCACAAGTTAATTTCTACCCCTGCTGTCTCTCTGTCACACACAGATCCTGACACGGCGGCTGCGGTTTAGACTGGAGCGCGCGAGCGGCGAGACGTCCCTCATAGACAGGACCGGCCGCTGCCTAAAGATGGAGCCGCTGGCTGACGTCGCCAGTCTAGAACGCTACCTCCTCAAACAGGTATGAGTTGTAGATAATTTCTCTATCCTCGTCTACTTCGTTATCGTTGCTAGCTCAGGCATGTCACTAATCATGTAAATATGTTAATATAAACATATTATTTACATATGTAATTAGTAATGTTATAATTATTGATTGTTGCTAGACTCGCTTTACACTTGGTTTTCACTAGTTCGCCGCGTATAGATGGCATCACCGCACGCATCATGGCCACTTTGCCGTGTTGCAGGTAGCGAAGCAGTGGTACGACTACGACCGCTCGACCTTCACCTTCGTGCGGCGGGTCAAGGACGCGGCCTCTGCGACCTTGACCTTCACACAGCAGCGAGACTTCGACGAAAACGGCATCATATACTGGATCGGAACGAACGCGCGGTGAGTGAGCGAGAGACACGTGTGTATGTATGTATATATAAATAAATATATATAAATAAATAAATGTATATATCATGTACAGCATGTTATACGCGCGGCTGACACGTTACAGTAGCATGTTACGGCTGTGTTACAGCACGGCGTATGAGTGGGTGAACCCGGCACAGTATGGTCTCGTGGCGGTGAGTTCGTCTGAGGGCCGCAATCTTCCGTACGGACGGCTAGAGGATGTGCTAAGTCGCGACGCCTCCGCCCTCAACTGTCACACCAACGACGACAAGTAAGCGCCCCCTATATTACACACGCACGCTCAACTGTCACACCAACGACGACAAGTAAGCGCCCCCTATATTACACACGCACGCTCAACTGTCACACCAACGACGACAAGTAAGCGCCCCCTATATTACACACGCACGCTCAACTGTCACACCAACGACGACAAATAAGTTCTATGCTACACGTGCACATGTACACATGTACACAGACACGCACACACACAATGCACGCACGTATACACGCATACACGCACAAACAACACACGCACGTCGCACGCATACATGCACGCATGCACACACACAACGCACGCGCGCACGCGCGCACGCACACACGTGTACGTGCAAACGCACACACGCACGCACACATGTGTACGTGCAAACGCACGCACGCACCCACGCACGTGTACATGCACACGCACGCACGCACGCACACACACAACACATGCACGCACGCACCCACGCACGCTTGGACGTGTACTGCACACGCACGCACGCATGCACGCATGCACGCCCACACACAACGCACGCATGCACCCACGCACGCTTGCACGTGTACATGCACATGCACGCACACACGCAAGCACGCCGCGTGATTTCTCACTAACGTTTTTAAACAGTTCATGATTTTTCTAAATCTAAATGATGTCACGACTATCGCAACATTTTGAACTGATGAGTGATCCATAGCTGTTAGCGCACTGATGTGCGTGCCTATCTATGACTGACCATGGGTTAACAAAACATCTGATTAATGTAAAATCATGATACCGCTAGGTTTGCCACTATCATTGTGATGGGCAATCAATACTCATTAATACTCACCCTATCGGTGCACAATCGGCGGTGATTGATGAATGATCGGTATCTGCTCGTGCGTCTGTGTGTGTGTCTATCTATGACTGACCACCGTGTCTCCCTCGTGCGTGCGTGCACTCACCCCTGCAGGCGGGCGTGGTTTGCGATCGACCTCGGACTGTGGGTGGTTCCCAGCAGCTACACGCTACGCCACGCACGCGGATACGGCCGATCTGCACTCAGGAACTGGCTCTTCCAGGTAAGTTGGATAGGTCAGCTTTTACCTGTAGACCGTACCTGGACACCGCACTCTGTACGCCATACCTGTCACCTGTCACAGATATTACACCGTCGTCAACCCTGTTTTTCCCTGCTTAGCTACCTACTTGCGTACCTACCTACCGACCGACCTACCTACCTACTTACTTACCTACCTAACCCATCTATCTATCTATCTATCTATCTATCTATCTATCTATCTATTCTATCTATATTATGTGTAAATTAATAAATATATGTATATGTATATATATATACATATAATTATTATAATTTGTATATGAATGTATGTGTTATAATGCGTTATATACGGCAGGTGTCTAAGGACGGACAGACGTGGACGACGCTGTACACTCACGCTGACGACTGCTCGCTCAACGAACCCGGCTCGACGGCGACGTGGCCGCTGGAGGCGCCCCCTGGTGGCGAGGGACAGGGGTGGCGGCACGTGCGGCTGCAGCAGACTGGGAAGAACGCTAGCGGGCAGACGCACTACCTCTCGCTGTCCGGCTTCGAGATCTACGGCTGCGTTACGGGAGTCTGCGAGGACCAGCTAGGTAAGTGTGACGCGGTTTTATGTCGCGACACAGAGCTACAGATTACAAGGACAAGATCGCAAGTGCGAAATCAGTACGACGCGGCGTTTACACGACGGTGCGATTTCTAGTGAGAAGGGCAGTCGTAAAAATTGTCATAAGCATTCACTAGAATCTACGACTCATCTTTCAACCCTACGTAAGCTCTCACGACCTCCTGACCCCTGACCCCTGACCGCCTGACCCTGAGTCTGACCCCTGATCTATGGCTGCGTGACGGGAGTCCGCGAGGTCCAGCTAGATAAACACTCATAACTCCTGAACCCTGGTGCTGGCCCCTGACCCCTGGTGCTGACCCCTGATCCCCAGTGCTGACCCCTGACCCTTACGCTAACCCATGTCTATTTATTAATGAATTATGGTTATGATTATGATGATGATGATGATGATGATGATGATGTGAAATAATAATGTGAAATAATAAGATAATAAGAATTATAATAAGGAATAATGAGTAATTAATAATAATAATACAAAAAAGTGAGATTAACATGATAAGATACATGTAATAAGAATTAAAATAAGGAATAATTTTAATATTATTTATCAGTGAGTAATAATTAGGTTATAACGTTAGATTAAGATGATGAAATAAAAATATGTATAGCACAACGACAATCCCTCGCCCACGCGTGACTAACGGCGCCCCCTGGTGTTGCAGGCAAGGCGGCGCGCGAGGCGGAGGCCAGCTTGAGACGGCAGCGGCGACTCATGCGCACTCAGGTGTTGAGACAGATGGTGATCGGGGCTCGCGTCTCGCGAGGCATGGACTGGAAGTGGCGAGACCAGGACGGCAGCCCAGCGGGGGAGGGGACTGTGACGGGGGAGCTACACAACGGTAGGTCTTGAGGGGAGGAGGGAGGGAGAGGGGAGGAGCGGAATGGTGAGCGGGGGAGGAGGGGGGAGGGGAGAGGACCACGTGACGGGGGAAGCTAACACATCGGTCCGCACACTCAAACGGTCAGGCTGAGGGAAGAGAGGGAGGGGGGGGGAGGGGAGGAGGGAGTGTGAGGGGCTGGAGGAGGCCGAGGGGCGGGAGAGGACCGTGAAGGGGGCAAGCTTACACAATCGTAGGTAACGGCAGGAGGAGGGCGGAGGGGAGGAGGGAGTGTGAGGGGAGGAGGCGAGGGGAGAGGAGCGCGTCGACGGGGGAGCTACCAGACGGTAGTATGAGGGGAGACGGAGGGGAGGCGGGAGGGGAGGAGGGAGTGTGAGGGGAGGAGGTACAAGGGGAAAAAAAAGGGGAGAGACCGTCGACGGGGGAGCACACAAACGTAGGCTGAGGGGGAGGAGGGAAGGGGGAAAGGGGAGGAGCAGTGTGAGGGGAGGAGGAGGGGGAGAGGACCGTGACGGGGAGCTCACACAACGGTACGTCGAGGGGAGGAGGGAGGGGAGGGGAGGAGGGAGTGGGGAGAGGAGGGAGGGGAGGGAGGGTGAGAGCACCGATGACGGGTTAGAGCTACACGCGTCGACAGTGAGGGGAGAGGAGAAGGGGGATGGAGCAGAGGATGGGGAGCGTAGAGGAGGGAGGGGGAGCAGGACGCGTGACGGGGGGAGCGTACAGCAGGCGTAGGTAGGGGGGAGGAGGGACGGGGGAGGGAGGGGCAAGGGAGTGGGGCAAGGGGGAAAAAGGGAGGCCGGGGAGGACCGCCGGCAACGGGGGACGCTAAGCTACACAACGGTAAGGTGAGCGGGGAGGCAGGCGTGGGCGTGGGGAGGAG